TGAGGGCAGAAATACTAACCAGAGCGTTATCCCTAAGCTTTTCAATTTCTACACCAAACATTTCATTAGATAAAGCTCGGAGATCTAAATCAGTTTTTACGGCTCCGCTGTCCTGCAAATTTCTCCCATATCCTTCGGAGCTGGATCCTGAACAGGTATTAGATATGTGTTGTTGGCTTACAAGCCTAGTAGCAAAGTTAAATAGGGCAACTAAATAGTTCATACAGTAGTTGATAGTGTAGCTGCTTACCAGTCACAGATATCAGAGGGATTTTACGTCCCTTGAACGTGTGACACCGTAACCGCCTAGNNNNATTGCAGTGACATTTACCGCATGCCGCAAGGGAGAATACCGCGATAGGGGAGAAGTTCCGTTACCCGTTGACTAACCATCTCTGCAAAGTCACGGGCTGGTCCATACGGAGCAGTCTCTTGTTTGGTCCTTTCCGTCACACTATTTTGTGGGTTATCCTGCAGTCTCCGTCATTAAAAGCCAGAAAATAGCATTCCTTTTGAAGTTTAATTTCTCCTCGTGGTAAATTCCAAATGAGGGCAGAAATACTAACCAGAGCGTTATCCCTAAGCTTTTCAATTTCTACACCAAACATTTCATTAGATAAAGCTCGGAGATCTAAATCAGTTTTTACGGCTCCACTGTCCTGCAAATTTCTCCCATATCCTTCGGAGCTGGATCCTGAATAGGTATTAGATATGTGTTGCTGGCTTACAACTCCATTAGCAAAGTAAAATAAGGCAATCTTAATAGTTCTTAGTGTAGCTGCTAAGCAGTCACAGATAATGTTATACGCAACATTCTCGTCCATGCCAGATAGTTTTACTCTCGGAAGAACGTCCGTTGCGCGTGTCCGTCGAAAGTAGGTCACCCCGCCCACTTCGCGCGCGGCGCATCACACTGAGGTCTCGAGATGACATTACAGTACCACCAAGTGTCATTGGAGCAAATGATTTGCATTTGTCTGTGTTATCTTCTTCTTGAACTGACTGCCGTGACCCAAACGCAAAGCGTATGCCCCAGTGACAATTGCGACGTCTGTCAAATATCGTGGGCCAACTCGCCGCGTGCGACGGCTTGCGACGCGACGTGACCTAGTTTCGACGGACGCGCGCAACGAAGCACACCCAATAATACATGCAGCGGACTCGTCTTAAAAATTAACAATTACGCAGCACACCGCTCTCCTAGATATTGATTCCGTGGGTGCTGTTCTTTTGCACCTGCTCCTACTAACGTCTGTGTGAGCTTTTATTGCAGATTTAACTCCTGCTGTAAGTCACTGTATCATCAAGCGAGAGCATTTGACCAATGTGGTAGTTCTAGCCAAAGGCACCTCGTTGTCGGGAAAGCCGAGCCGTTTAGATTCCTGTTCACGGTCAAGGATCTCATGCGAAATGATAAAGCCAAAGATCTCATGCGGAATGACAGTAGACTTACGACTTTTCATCAGGAAAGGAAAAATGGAAACGAGCTTGTGCTGAGTGGCAGGCGACAGATCCTCCCAATATTTCGCAACTCTGTAACATGAGAGCCATTGAGGAAACCAGAGCATCAGTGCGAAATACCTGATACATCCTTCTTCCACAGTTAGATTTTGTTCCTTCACTTTAATCAAGCATTCAAACACCTTGAAAATAATCAATCTTATGGGAAGTATGCATAAGAACGTGATCGGCTCACCATCTTCGCGAACAAAATGGCATCGTAGTCCTTTTTCACTTTGTCTGCGGTTTCCTGTGCCACTGGGTTTTTCGGTGCTTCCTACAGTCAATATGGTTGGTTGGACTGTAGATTCTTTTGACATATAGGATCACCCATTGCAACGGTATTGTTGGTGCAACGGGTAATTCTTACGGTATTTCTGCTCATAGGAGGGGCGGGAGGAGTCTCTTTGACCATCCATGTAGTGAGCCGCCATAGGAGTGTGCTGCAGTTGGATCGAAATCGTCGCTTTGCGGCCTGAGCGAAGTCGCGCGCGAAGGAACGTAGCAGATGAAGCAGAGGAAGCAGTGGGAATCGCAGCAACACGAGAACTAACGGGACAATCATGCCAAAAATAGTAACTGCATATGTTATGGCTCGTCTGTGTTATCAGCAAACCATATTCTCTACCTTTCTGAGGTTCCTTTGATATCTCGGCTCCTTTGGGGAGGGCGGCTTCTTATGCCACTATCATTATCACAATCATGAGGTCTTTTAAAGAGGGAAGATGTTAGAAGGACAACAGAAGAACAAATCGACTTCCCATAGTATTTACCGACACAAGAGAGGAAGCCAGTTTCCTCTTATGGCGATTCACTTTGTCATTGTGAAGTTTCTGGTTTTTCGGATGGTCAAATGAAATTCTCCTACAACACGAATCTACACAAACCATTGACTCGGGATCGAGTTTTTCCAAACTTTCTCCAAACAATTCCTGTGACAGATGAGTGATGTCTACGTCGACGTAATCCTGTTCTGACGTTGTCGCAGCTTCACTGCCCTGCAATACCTCCATGTTGAGTTGAACACCACTCGGAATTCCTAAAGAGTTGTCAAATTCACATTTGTGGTAGCATTCGGCGGAACTGTCTCAATCACACTCATGACGGGATCGGGATCTGAATGAAAGTCATTACTCTTGTAACGAACGGAGAGATATGTATGTAGGTAATAGAATTTGGCACGGAAAACATCTTCCCCAACCTTGAAGCTGCTTCAGCGAATGATTGCTGGTTGAAAGTCCAAGCGAAATGAAGTGAACGTAAGAATGAACGGTATATATACTGCTCAATCCCATTCGATCATATCGAAACATAGGCCAGAAAGCAAAACAACTTATCATTCGAAGTTACTGAACGACCAGTCGGCGAGTTCTTCCAAAGTTAAGCACATGCGAGGATTTCTTGCCTGATCAATTATGATAGACAAGAAAGAATAGGAAAGGTAACAACTGATCAGTCGGACTCCTCTTTCCAGAACAAATAAATCGCTTTTGCCAACAAATCTTCCAGAGGGAGTTCCAAGCGGGCACTACAAAATACATTTATTCGGTAAGATTGAGGTGTACTCGTCGTAATCTGGAGCTGAGCCAGAAATTGCTAAGAAGGAGTATTTGAACGAAGTGTTCATATGTGTTCGCTACTGCATACAGCTGGCTGCAGTACGCTGCCTGCGTGCAAGATGCGGGTCCTGGTGCGAATGGTGCAACCTCTAAAGCTTTTACAACGCTTAAGAGCTAGTCCACTTTGCATGTAATTTGCCCATCTGTACGTTCTTAATGAGACCTTCTTCGGCTTATCAGATCCCTTCTTTCAACACCAATGCTCTGCACACGTACCTATCGACGAACTTACTCCCAGAGCCGATCAGTTGTCTGTCTGGACAACGGTTACGCAACAGTATAATACAAAATGATTTTTCTGGTACAGAATGAAGCGTGACACCTCCAGTTCACACATTCCACCGGATTTTCCTTTTCAGGTCACTTCTGTGCATAATAAACACTCCTTTTGTCCCCGTTTGGGAACAAGAGTTTTTCTGTTTTTGGCCCACTAGCCTTTACCACTTTTGGGTGGTGTGTATGTTCACAGTGGCTATGTGCAGATTTATTGTAAAGCACAAAAAGCCCCGTATCAGCGGTGCAACGGGTATTATGCCCAGGTGATCCAGGGTGACAACCAATACGATTATCAGAGGTCAAGGCGGTGAGGAACAATCTACAGGGTTATCAGGGGTCACAGTGATGAGATCAGTGTACACGGTTATCAGGGGTCACAGGGTGGCAATTAGCGTACAGGGTTATCAAAAGTTAAAAGGTCGCGCAGAGCGAGACACCTTTCTTCCTGTCTTCTAGCCTTTCTCGCCCATTCCAACAGCGACTAAAAAATCTCGCTACTGTCACCACGCTTCCTCCTGCTTTCAGTAATTCTAGGATTTCGTTTTAGCCAGAAACTTTCTTTTCGAAGGCATTGAATTACTCAATGCGTCTTCTTTAACGTTGTCCTGTCAGTGTTGACATCGAGCTTTACTGTCAGCTTCATTCCATCCAAACGGTGAATCCTTCGTGTGTTGGACTGACTAAGAATGTCTCGAAAATGTCTAAGCAACATTCCGCACTGTTCATCTCCTATTGATGGGAACTTCTCTTGACCTTTCCATTAGGTATATCAGAGTATTTGACCTTTTTGCCAATTTGTTTACAATGCCGCAAGTAGTTTTTGAGCCTTCATTTTCAGCAACACACGGAGTTCGGGCACCCCTCTGCGGAGCTTTTTCGTCATGAGAGCAAGGAATAACTTTCAATAGCCTGTCGAATTCCCTTCTATAAATTCATCGACTCTTTCTCATTTTTAGGGTGTTCATTGTTCCCTCTCATTTATTCTCTGCCACACGTTATCATTCTTGGCCTGATCATATGGTCGCTCTCATTTGTTCCTTACCATATGCTCTTTCAATCGGTTGTTCCGTCCATGAGCTATTCATTTTCCCAAGAAGTTGGGAGCAGTTCCATTGTAAAGTTGTGTTATATCAAAGGAGAAGTATGACAGTCAAAGCCAAGTCTTGCAACCTTCCCGCCGTCAATGGTTGACTCACTTTCCTTGTTTTTATTCAAGAAGCAAAGTTCACCATAGAAATGGTTCTATAGTTTCTATCTAGACAGACCTGTGACCCCTTGAGGATTACACAGGGGCGCTATCGGTTCGAGAACGGCCTAGGTAGGGTCTAGCAAGGACCTCAAAACCAGCCTAGCCGGCGAACCCTCACAGCAAACGAGTTCCAATGGCTGTACAGGTTGCACCATTCGCACCGGGACGCACACGTTGCACGCAGGTCGCTTTCTGTAGCCAGTTTGGACAGCTCGTTACATTCTAATCCAACCCTACTTTTACTACTTTTTGAAGCTTTATTTTTCTGTAAATACGCCAATTTCCGCGATTACTTGCACTATTCCGGAATATCACTTCAATTATTCACCCAAAACCAGATACCCCAAAATTATCGTGGACCAGGCCTTTAATCGCCGCCCTCATATCGCACTGATTTGAGCCTATATCCTCTTCTTCACTCGAGCAATTGAAGGAAACTTTCTCACTTTCAACCCAAGCAAATGTTACTGATCTCATTTCAAGCCTCTTCTCGTGGGAGTCCCACGCTTTTCTAATGAATTTGATCGTGCTTGAAAACCTTGTCCCCATTAGGAAGGCCGTTTTGCTCACTATGTGGTGGAAGTTGTTCTTCACGAGTACTCAAATGCCCAGAACAAACGATTGGTCGGCTGCTCTTTCTAAATCGCGAGTCTCCGCCTAGTTTCGAGTAGAAATCTATAACAACTACTTCCGGGTATGTGTATATTCTTGGTGTTTCGTGAGCGGTGTCATGAACTGCTCGTTGAAGCCATTCCTCAGTGGCATCGCCAGGTGCATCTACCTGGATGATTATTGTCCAAGAGATTCAAGCTATGTGCTTTGGGTGTCCTTCACTCAAGCCTCGACCAAGATGTTACAATTTTTATTAGACTATCGCCTCGGGCAGTCGCCTTCCTCAGAGTCTGGAAGCCAGCCAGCATCAAACATCTGGTGTGGTTTACCTGATGTGAATTGCAAGACCTCCCTAGGTATCTGTAGGTTACGCTTGGACTGAGCTGAGGTCTTTGATCAAGATGAATACCAAATGTTCCTGGATCCAGGCTCTGACGAAGGCGACTGGCCGAAACGTTAGCCTAATAAAATTTGTAACATCTTGGCCGGGGCTTGAGAGAAGAACACCTAAACATCACGATATCATTCTAAGATTAAAGACACAGTTCACACTAATAATGGTTTCTGGAATACAGGATGAATTTGAGGCCCCCGCGCATACCATCTTTGGCACTTCTAGATCGGAAAACGGCTTAGTTAGGGAGTTATAAAGGCTCAAAGTTTGGCCCATGTGTATCTCGCGCGAGTTTCACCGGCATCGTAGAGGCTGCACCGATCGCAACGGAGCCCATGTAGGAAGTTCAAACAACTTCCTACATGGGTTCCCTTGTGATGGGTGTGGGTTCGAACCTGTTATTACTCATAGTGACAGTGGTGGTTCTCTACAGTTCTGGCTTGATGTGGTCAGTTCTTTGTGTAATGGCCACAACTGAAATCTCGTCCCAATTCTCCTTCCATGTTATTTCCGTCATGGCAATCTCGTCCAACCTCTAATTTCCCTGCTTTTGAGGAGCCATTTTTTTACTCGAAATCGGCGGATTTTCTCGCTTTCTTCGTTACCGATGAACTATTTCCAAGCTATTCTTCCGATTTTCGAATAGAAACGGGTACCTCGAGATTATCGTTAACTGTGCTTTCGAGTAAGAGCCTAACATGAATGCTTCCTAATCTAGTACCTCTTTAAGTCGTTCTTCTTGTCCAGACAACAAGACAATTCACCCATCAGTTCGTCAGTCAGTTCGCCCACCCTCTTCTTATCCGTTCGGTTTAGCTGACTCTAAGAATTAGATCTATCCGGTAATTGTTCTGCAAGATTTCTAGACTGATAAGAGTGCGCTCAGTCCGTCGTTCCACTGTAAGAATTGCTTTTGATTACTTCAAAGCAAAGTTTTCTTATGTATACATCGTTTCTTTTGCATGCATTCCTTTTTTGCGGTGCATGTGTTGCCAGCAATTCGCAACAACCTTCCTCCACTTCCATCTGGGCTTGGAGTCAATTACGGGGGCGCAAACGATGCCACAGCAAGTATTGGATTAGGTGATCCTGATCCCAGTGTTTTTATGTACTTTACAAAGGAACTTTCATCTTCTCAAGCTATGCTCGGAAAGAGGGCTGCCCAGAAAGAAAGCAGTAACACTATGTTATTCCCACGTGGCTGGACCGAAAGACATCCAACTCAAGCGGGGTTCAGGGATCAAACTCGGGACTGATAGCCATGGGAAATGCGGGAAAATGCGGGAATGAGCCGAGACTTTAGCCTTTTCCTTATTTTGCCAAGGGAGTTGGGGGCGGAAGCATGTGTTCCAGTCAGTAGTGCTATCTACAATCTTGGTGACGACTGACTTTGAAGAAATCAAATGTTACTTACCCTATAAGGCACTTCCTCGATTGAGCGAGAAGTAAATAATGTCTTGGCTAAAAGGCGAAAAAATTCTGAAAAATGAAGGTGCTGATGGTTGCTGGGATTAGTATCTAGGCTGTATGAGAGATTGATGATCATAGAACGCTAGAGGTTACGCCTATCGGCCGTAAAGTCGATGAAGTCAGATGTAGTTGTTAGGGTCTTGAGTTGAAAACCTTTTTTTAAACTAAAAATAATCTTCACGAATTCCTTAGGGAGACCCAAAATTGCCCGTTATGGCATTCGCTTTACCGATCACCGCTCGACCGTTGAGAGCCTACATACAGATTTAGAGAGGATTGTGATTCACGGACTGCAACAATTGTTCACAGCCCTGCCCTTTCATTCGCTTCTGTTTAGTGTCTGTCATCGAGATCTCATAATTTAATCCGATGGGCGGTGGTGTTCTTAAAAGC